GTTTATAACAATAAATATAAGTTTCTTAAACTACTCTATTACTGATACAGACTCTCAAACACTTTAAAACAAAGTGAAACAAAAGGTTAAAATTAAAGAGTGGGCAGAGGTAATTCTAGCAAAAACAAACTAAAAATAAAATGATGTGTTGACATCAACACGCAACATAGGCGAATTCCAGGGAAATGCACAAAATGAGAAGAGAAGATTTATTTGACATTGATAGAGGATACAGTCCATAGGGAAGAGATAACCATTATGAACCTTATGTGCCAACTAAGATTATGTTAAAATGGAGAAACTTACTGAAAAATAATCATTCTAGGTGATTTTTGATTTATTTCTCAGTCTTTCACAGATCAAGTGGGCCAAAAAAAATGTATTGAAGCTTCAAATCATAAATATGACAAGCATATGTTGAACTTTGAACGTTGCAAACAGAATACAACTTCTGGTGCTCCAAAAGAAACATTGTTTAAGGCTTTACTGCAACACACTAGAAAATTAGTAGTAAAAAGTTCATTTTTAGAAATAACATTTTGAAAATTGCATAGCACACTCCTAAATAACTACTACACCAATAGTTATTTAATTGCAGACTATTTTAGAAAGAAAGACAGTGAGAACACTGTGCCTCAAAACTTATGGCTATGACCATACCTCTGTTCAATGAAAATCCATACCATTTTAAAAGTTGCTTTTATTATGACTCAAGGAAAAAAATGTTACTAAATTAACTGAGCAGTCAATCCAAGGAGTTGGAAAGAGAAACAAAGATTAATAATCTGGGATTAATAATCCCAGAGAAAAGGATCAATAATCCCAGAGAAAGGGATTAATAATGATAAAGGCAAAAATTATTGGATTAGAATATTTTTAAAGAGAACTGATCAACAAAATCCAGTAACTGATTCCTTGAAAAAAATAATTAAAATATACAAAAATAATTAAAATAGACAAAATTCCCACAAGACTAAACATGAAAAAACATTGGAAATACAATTACAGTGAATTTCAAATGAGAAGGGGTGCTTATTCCTAGATACAGTGGCGATATCTCCTGTCCAGATTTACTCTCCACCCGCATGGACACCTCTACAAGGCAACTGGCCCTCTGTCTTCCTGGGTTTTGCCAGTGCAGTCTCCCAGGAGCAGGGGGAGGAAGGAGAGTGAGGTCAGAGGATGTATTCACTTGCCTCGTCTGCTTCAAGCTGGCTGTGTGTCCTCCACCAAGGATCACTGCTCCTGGTAAGACAGCCCACCCGACTCGCCACCCTGCAGGCCCAGAGGTGGAAATAGCTCTGCTACCAGCCTCACTGTCCCCTGTAGTTCCCCTGCACTCATACCTGGCTAAATAGCCCCTGTATCAATAAACCCCCCTGGAATAATCCTGTATGTAACGTGACATTGACATTGATGGAGGATACAGTCCTGTATCAATAAACCCTCCTGGAATAATCCTATATGTAACGTGACATTGACATTGATGGAGGATACAGTCCTCTATCAATAAACCCTCTTGGAATAATCCTATATGGAACGTGCATCTGTTTCCTCTTGGAGTCCTGACTGATACATATGCAGTGCTAAATTTCTTTAAAATGAAGATTGTTTTGCAGGAAAACATAGACTAACAAAATTGATTCAAGATGAAATCAAAACCAAATGTACCAGAAGCAGAGAGGGGCCAAGCGAATACATCCTCTGGCCTCACTCTCCTTCCCTCTCCCTGCTGCTGGGAGACTGCATTGGTGAAACCCGGGAAGAAATTGAAAATATCAAGTTATTATCTGCAACTAAAGGCCAGACTTAGACAATATCAAATGCAAGATCTATCATGCCTTCTTAATTCCAATAATTATCTTCTTTTTAAAATCTTCCAGAGTATTAAAAAGATAGAAATTTTCTCCAATAGTTTTACTAAATTAACATAAAGGGATATTAAAACCTGACAATAATAGCTCAAAAAACTAAAACTATAAACCAAATTTAGTTATTAAAAGAGATGCAAAAATCTTAGCAAATTGAGTCTGCCATTATATTCAGAAGAATAGCCAAATAGAGTCTGTTTTATGAAGGCAAAAATGGGTCAATATTGGAAAATCTTTTTGTATCAACTTGGTTAGAAAAAGCCAAAATTTGGGGCCGGCCCTGTGGCTTGGCAGTTAAGTGCGCGCGCTCCACTGCTGGCGGCCCGGGTTCGGATCCCGGGCGTGCACCGACACACTGCTTCTCCAGCCATGCTGAGGCCGCGTCCCTCATACAGCAACTAGAAGGCTGTGCAACTATGACACACAACTATCTACTGGGGCTTTGGGGGAAAAATAAATAAATAAAATTAAAAAAAAAAAAAGAAAAACCCAAAATTAAGTTAAATCCTAAAATTTGTAGTAACCTAGGAATAGAAAGATATTTCCTTAACTTAGAATAGAGTATCTATGTGAAACTAATATCCAAGATTATATTTATGGTGAAACATTAGAGACAATCCTATTAAAATTAGGAATAAGATGATGATGCCTGCCATCAATATTGTTATTTAACATTGAATTATAAAGCTCTAGCCAATATAATAAGACAAGAAAAATAAATAAGAAATGTTAATATTGAGGATGAGAAAAAATCATTATTTGCAAAAATGACTGTCTACCTGAACAATAACTTTAATAAATAAAATGTACTTACAAATCAATGGAAAAAAAGTGAACACACTATAGGAAAAATGAGCAAATGACATAATTTAGTAATTCACAAAAGAAGAAAGACAAATGGTCAACCAAAAGTAAATACTGCATATCAAATTTAAATAATTAATGAGATGGTTTACCTTAGGGAGAAAGAGACACTTTTATACCCAAGTCTCCAAAAAGTGTACCACTTTACACACTTACAATTTGGTGGTATGTTTTAAAAGTTAAAATGTACGTACTCTTTGACCCTGCAATTGTACTTCCAGGAATTCATTGTAAGTATCTAAATAAGAATGGTTGGGGGCAGAAGGAGATAGAATTATGTTCAAGGATGCTCCTTGTTTATAATATCAAAAAATATTGAGGCAACTTACAATAGTTAATTCATTGAATACATTGTGATACATTCATAAAAATATATGGCCACTAAAAATGGTGTTAAAATGCTCATTTATAATATTTGAATTGTTCACAATCTTTTTTGAGGGAACAAAAATCAAGTTTCAAAATAATATGCAAAGCATTAGCCCTTTTTGTTATATATATTAATTTTTGTCTAAATGCATAAAACAGTGTACACAAAATGTTAATAGTAGTTATCTCTGAACAAAGAAATATTAATTTTTTTATTTTGCTTTTCTGTATTTTAAAGGGGTGTGAGATATGAAAGAAGCTAGGCAAGTTGTAAAAGGAGCAATCAACTGAGTGATTTAAACACTTTTTTCTATGTGACTCTGTGTTCAGGGAGCCTCAGTGAGCACAGTCAGGCTGGGCTTGCTTTGGCTCTGACCATTGTCTGCCATAGATATTTGGTGCCTGATCTGAGAAAAATTATTTGACCTCAGTTTTCTCAACCAAGAAATAAGAAGAACAATTTTACACTTGGTAAATCTTAAACCTCAAGAGCAGAGAACTATGATGTTGCCCTGTCCCTCCCCAAAATCAAATCTGAATTTGATCAACTTCTAAGTCCAACTGCTAATTTACAGAAAGCAGAGAAAGAGCAGCATGTTCAAAAACCCCACAGGGATACAGTCAGCAAAATCCCAACCATGGGAAACTCTCTAGGACAAATGACCCCGTTTCTTCAACAAGTAAATCACATGAAACAAAAAAGAGAGATCTAAAAATACATATCAACCAATCTCATCGTGTTGGTCTTATTTGGATTTTTATTCAAATAAATTATTTTTTCTAACATAATGGCATTTAAGAGAAATTTGTGAATTTAAACACTGATTATATATTAGATGATACTAAGAAACTATTTTTAATTTCTCAGCTATTATAATGATACTGTGTTTATGTTTCTTCTAAAGGGTCCTTTAAGAGATACCCTGAAATATTCACAGTTTAAATGACAGGATACATTGAATTTGCTTTAAAATAATAGTAGGAGGAGGGGATCAGGGTGTGGATGGGGCAGGATTGACCATGGGTTGATGGTGGGTACATGGGGACTTATCATACCATTTGGTCTACTTTTCTGTACATTCAAATTTCTCCATAACAAAAAGCTTATTTTTAAAAAGTGAATTGTGGGCCAGCCCCAGTGGCTTAGTGGTTAAGTTCAGCACGCCACTTCGGCAGCCCAGGTTTGGTTCCTGGGCATGGACCTATACCACTCATCTGTCAGTGGCCATGCTGTGACAGCGGCTCACATACAAAATAGAGGAAGATTGGCACAGATGTTAGCTCAGGGAAAATCTTCCTCAGCAAAAAAACAGTGACTTGTTCCCATCTTTATGATGAAGCTGATGGACTTGAATTATAAATTGGCAAATAAGAAAATAGGAATCCTTTGCCAGTGGGGACTGTGAAAATAAAATGAAAAGGCAAAGTCAAGAGGAAATTCAACAGCCAAGCAATTCTTCTCCCCCAATTTCCCGACATATTAGAAAATTGAGGTAAGAGATTGGGAACACCAGCCTTGGGCCACACTTCTTCCCAGCAGAACCGCATTCCCTTTCTCTGAGCAGCTCTCCAGAAGTCAAGAGAGCCTGCCGAGCCAGCGGCACATTCCTCCTGGGAACTTGAACACGTAGCACTTTGCCCAGACTTTCCATAGTGATAAGATGGCCCCTTGCAGAGCGCTGCCTTGTGCTCATCTGTGAACCCCTGTGGCCCTCCGCAACCCTGTTGTACCGTTACTGTGATTGCTCTTGTTCCCTGTGACTGAGGCATGAGGAGGTCACACAGCCAGGAAGTGGCAGAAGTGGGTGGATCCAGATACACCCCCATCTCCTTACCCTCTCCCCACATGGACCCCAACCCAGTCAGCCTGAACCTCGTCTCCCCATCTCCCACCAGGTGCTGAAGACCTGCGCGCCAGTCCCTGCCGTCATCGAGGTGCTCTTCAACTCCTACCCTCAACTCCGCGTGTCGGAGTCCTGGAAGGAGGTGATTCCCGAAGAAGTGTTTCAGGTAAGGAAGCTGCCCTTCCTTCCCCCTGAGTACAAAATCCTTGTCTGTTTCTGCTTACCCGTGGGTGGAGTTCTGTACTAATATCCAAGTTAGTATAAACCATCTGAAGATGGAAAGAGAAAGGGAAATTGGGGGCGTATTGGAGTATTTCTAATTTTCTCCTGGAGGCTCAGTAATCACGCAGCCGAGAGCCTGTTATTAGAGTTGACCCCCACTGGCTTGAGGAATGTCAGGGCTCCATTAACCAGTGTCCAGAGAAGGGTGGGCGGTAGAGGTTCTGGCTCCTGTGTGTCCTTCATCTGCTTACAGCTTAAGACATGACCAGGCAGCTGTGGGCACTACAGCTGTGCACAACACAGTCCACAGGTGGCTGTCGACTGAGAAAGAGAACATTTTTTTCCTGGAAGATTTCCCCTCGTGTTTCACTGACTTGAGTCCCATGCACATTACTGAACAGCAGATGTGCTGAGCAGAGGAGCTAGGGCAGAGCAGAATTCGAGGAGATTACCTATATTATCTGAAATCACCCAAAACGGAGTTCTCTCAGACTTGGCAAGAACTGCCCCTTAGAAAAGTACACAGACCCTCCTGGTGGAGGATGCTTCATCCAAACGGTGCTTCCCCCTATAATGGGATTATATCCGGTATCAGGTAGCGTGGAAAGGATTGACTGTGCAATAGGGGGTCTTCTGCTAGGACAGAAATGTCTGTTGGTTCCATGTGCACAGGTTGATGTTCCACCCACCTTCCTTTCAGATGCACCAGCCTTTCTACAAGTCTTTCTTTGCCTTGGCCCACACCCCACGCTGTCTGCAGCATCTCTGCCGCTGTGCCATACGGAAATTATTTGGCAAAAAGTGCTTTTACCTCATACCCCTGCTACCATTGCCGAAGTCCCTGCAAAATTATCTCCTTTTGGAGCCGGAGGGTGTTTTGCACTGAAAACCAGAGCATTTGGACCAAGGCTCATGTCCTCGTCTTTTCCTTCCCCAGCGGCTGTATGGTGAGGAGAGCGCCCTGCATGGGCCCCCCGGCTCTCCTTGGCGGACACACAGACCTCACCGAGCTTTGCGTTCACCTCAGAATGGAACTGGTAATAAAAGCCCTTTCTGCCTCTCAGGGTTGCTCGTGAGGATCAAAATTGTGAATATCATAGTACTTGTATCAGAAAGTACCTTTTACCGGAAGTTGAACTAAAAAGTATACATATTTTTTCAAGGTGTGTCTCTTGCCCCCAATGGGTTAGCAACGTGCATGCTGCCCCCCAGCCTCAGACCCTCTGCCTTATGGGAAATGTCCCACCCCTCCTGGAGCCCAGCCGCCTGGAAAGACTGTCCCCAGCACATGACAGACGTACACACTGAGAGAGGACACCTGCTTCCATGACAAGAGCACCTCCCCAGGAGCCCACTGGTCTTCCCAGCGTGTGACCATCCAAAGCTCCCTAGAGGACAGTGGAGCGGTGGGGAGACGCACATTCTGATCCTTGTGAGTCTTCTATCTGACCCCCTCACCAAGCCCAACTGATCCAGCTCTGGGGGATAGTCCAGAAGCCAGATGCTGGGAGAAGACACAGGTTGATACAGGTTGTATTGGCTCGGCTGAACATCCGTAACAGGAGAGATGTTCTAAAGGTCTAGGACTGTATTAACCACGTCTTCTATTTTCTCTATGCTGCTGCTTTGACATCTGGGGCCTTGCTGACTGACCCTGGAGGGGCTGCCCCCGCCCCCAGAAAGAGCCAATTCTTAGAGACAGTAAACAACTCGCCCCCAAGTGTGCTTTTCAAATGCAAACCAACCAACCCAGAACTCATACCCAACCACCTCCTTCATTGGACTCTCACACTCCAGGCCACAGTCCACCCCAGGGCCACGTACCAGACAAGTGGGGACAGCCCCTCGGCCGCAGAGCCCCCTGAAATTATTCAAACTAGCCAATCCTAAACCTGTCTGTCCTGCCTCACCCGTTCCTTCCGTGGAAACCACGATAAAGGCTCTTGCCCACATCCCCTCCCCCACCTTCTGACCAACCCTGGTGCTTCCCCATGTGGCTTCCTGTGGCATGGCATGCCCCTTCTCTTGGGAATGGTGAGTAATAAACTACCTTTTCAATGGCAGTCGTCTCCTGATCTGTTGGCCTTACTAGACTTCAAATTTTCTATTAAACACCAGATTTTAAAACAAGGATTCTTTATGGTCATCTTCTGAGGATGCACAGTGGCTCCATTTGTTCCAGTTTGAGCCAGTGCAAGGTGCTGCTGGGACAAACCTCAGGGCGGGGTGGGGTGGGCAGGCATGCCCTCCTATGGTTGCAGTCTGGAAGGGGGGTTCACACCCAGCAGATAACAGCAGTATGAGGTGGGATGTTGTGTGAACCATGAGTGAGGCCCACTGTGGGAGTGAGAGGGGGCCAGGAAGGGCCCACCCAGTGAGGGTGGGCGTATGAAGAGGGTAGCCAGGCTGAGCTTGGTGGATGGTCAGATTTCAACATCAACCCCCAGCACCTTCAGCTGACCTCCCCACATCCCACCCTTCGAGACAGACAACTCACCTGACCTAGAAAGGCTATGTAAACATGGCTTCAGGACCCCTCAGAGCCCCACTCCAGGCCGATGGCTCTGCCCAAGCCCCTTCTAAACATTCAGGAGCCACCACTGTATTGAAAGAACTTGACTGAGGGCGGGAAAATACACCACACATGGAGGAACAGTGACTTGTCCTCCTGGAGGGGAGGGTCCCCGTGCTTTGACAACTGGAAGGAGGCAGGGCTGGAGGGGCTAGGGGGCAGATCGGGAGGGCCTTGGCTTCCAGACCCAGGATGCTGAACTTCTTTGGACACGCTGTGAGGATCCTCGGAGCAGATGTGGTCATGGGGGACTCTAGGGAGGTTCCTTTGTCCTGGAAAGGGACACAACACACTGGAGGGCGGGAAGGAGACCTTGGTGACACCCTAGAGCTGGGGCTTCAGATCCAGGCTCCTCCATTGAGCAAGAACCGTTACTTAACTGAAATCAGCTGAGATTTGCTCATCAGGAGCGTGAGAGCATCCGCCCCTCTCTCACTGGGTTAGGATTGAGTGAGATCACTGATGTAAGGCAGGGCTTCTCCACCTCTAAAGGGATCTTGTTGAAATGCAGATTCCGACACTGGAGTCTGGGGCGGGGCCCGGATTCTTCGAGTCTGCGAACTTGAATGTTACTAACGAGCTTGGGTGACTGGGGTGATGCCCCTGCTCCTGGTCACCGACCCCACGGAGCACAGACTGCAAAGCCCCAGGCCCAGAGCCACCCAGAGAAAGAACTCAATAAATGGTTCCTTCTAGTATTATGATTGTTTTATTATTATTAGAAGAAAATAGTCTAATATTAGGATAAAGACTAAAAAATGGAAAAGCAAAGCGATGTCATTAACGAGGAAAAATAAGAATGGTAAGAAGTACAGCCACAGCAGCCACCAAGGCCTGTCCTCCCTGGATTTTGCAAATTAGAATCAGAGCAAACATGCCTGCCTGACGGCGTGTCCTTCAGCCGTCCTTTCCGTCCCACCCACCACAGACGACAGTTTGGTTGTATTTCCAAAATGCATTAAATTTTAAGTATGTTTTGGAGTCCTGGAACAAAGTAGAACTCTCTTAAAACGTACTGACTTTATATTCTAAAAATCTGATAAAGACCAATGATTAGGTATCTCAAAACATATTTTTCCCCTGTTAAATTACAGCTTAAACACAACATGATTCTCACATTGAGCCCCAGCGTCTCCCCATAGCTGCCTGAAATTCCACCATGGTGGAGGAATTCTTTCTGTATTATTCATTATTTCTACTCCCAAGAATTTTCTTTTATAATTCAGATGCTCCCAGGAAGAGCTAATCCATAAAGTCCCTTAGGTTTAAAGGGTTGACTCATCAATTCACTCATGGATTCATCCCTTTCTTTACCCAACCCTGACTGAGCCTGCTGGGGGCAGGTGGAGCCCAGTGCGTGGGGCTGAGGACCCGGCATCCACAAGACAGGCTCCTTGTGGCGCTCACAGACAAGCAAAGAAGCCAACTTGGCAGAGGGCTGATCAGGGAGGCGTGGGGAGGAAGGGCTCCTTCTTGGCCACTGTCTCTCTGAGTCATCTCTTCCTGGAATGAGGGTTGCCTATTCCCAGGACAGGTGGCAGTCTGGGCACCTAGCAGCCTCCCTCCCCATCACTCTCATCACTGTGTCCTACAGGCCATCCTGTGACTCCAATGATGAGTACCCTCCCGCCCCACCCCACCAGCCAGTACCGTATGACGTGTGTCTGGTACCTCCAGTCCAGCACCCTTGGCCAACGGGGATCCACATGCAACAGGAACATAGCAATGAACCGAACAGCCTAAGATGTCAGGGGTCCTTCTCCCTGCCCCCAGCTCATCAGGGACGTGACAGCACAGCTGCAAGAGAATAAGTCGGTGATAAACTGACATTAGTAATTAGTTCTGAGTCACCTGGGTTCAGTGGCTGTCCAGATGCGCTAAATACTGTTCCTGAATTATGGCTGTGACTGTAATGGGACAAAAATGGCTAGTGTGGTTGTTTGGACCTATCTTAATCATCAAAAGGCATGGAATTCATTCATAGTTTTGCAGAATTTAATTACTGCTGGCAATTTGCTTTGTTAAGCAAAAAAGAAAATAATTGTCAAAAATTTGTTGTTTCAGTGTGCCTACCTGTGCTCTATGCTACATTTGTTAGGAAGTTCTAAGATTAAGGGGACTTACACAATTCCACATAGATAAGAGGAAGGGGAGCAGAAGAACGGGGAGGCGGGGGAGAGGGGGAGAACGAGACTGAAGATGGAAGCGAGGAAGAGAGAGAAGGAAGTTAGTTGACATAAACATCTAAAAAGACATTCTACTTTGAGGCTAGAATTATCCTGGCTAACTTCTTTTCCAGTAAACAAAATATGCCCTGGTAATTTTCTTATTAAAGGGTCTAAAATGTTTTCCATTCTTATATGGTTCACATTGGGCATCTTTACTTTTCTCTTTGAGTATATTACATAAACTCAATTCCATAAGACCTAAATTGTTTTCTTAAATTTCAAATTTAGTTTTTCATGAGAAGCATTCACATGTTTCAAAATTCAGAAGGTAACAAAGGAGTAAATGCTGTTTCTACTAAAAAAAGATGGCAGAGGAATATTTTCCCTCCAACTTCATTGAGTATTTTTGTCCCTACTTATCATCTGACCACAGAGAATTCAGAAATACACAAGTGTGTTTCTCCACCAACAATGGTCCTGAGGAGGTTCGCCTCTTTGCATCCTGTGAACGTGGACAGGATGAAATGTCCACAGCACAGTGGGACAGCCAGACACAATCCACAGTCCACAGGTGATCAGTACCCCGACATGGCACCATGTGATCTTTTATGTTTACAATTCTGAACACAGCATTGGGCCTACATATCTAGTGTATTGTGTCAGTTTAATTTTAAGTTCCATGATAATCGTCAAGTCAACATGTTTTGAAGAAAATCAAACAACTGACTCTTTAAGAAGCATTTGCTAATCGCAGAAACTGGATATAATCGTCACATTTCCCATCTCTGAAACAACCCTTTAGACACACGTTGATGCGCCAGGCTGTTGAACTTTTGCAAAGAACACTTAACCCTCTACAAAAATGGTATAAAATAGAGGCTTGGAGAATGAGCTGGTCTGCTCCAGTGACCAGTCCTGATGTGGGGCATCCGAGAGGATGCTTAATCACTGTAATTGTAGATGTCACTAGCTTGCCAAGTGCTTTTCATGTCGTAAGGGCTGCCCAAGGACCAAGTGACAAACCAGGAATATTGCATATTTTATTCCATTATTTCAAGAATAAATTATTCCTTAGTCAAATTTTCTATGTGCGCTTGGGATATTCAGAAGCTGGGAAGTTTCTGCATCTTATTTTGGTATTTAAATATACTTTGAGAGCAGCAAAACACTTTTCAAACTCCAGGACGTGTCTTGAAATTTTCGACTTCT